ATATTTATAAGATATAGAGTAAATAATGTCCAATTTTATTAAATTATCGCCCTAGAATGTAATATATAGTTCTATTTTTTTAAATGATGATCACCAAAACTCCGAATGATAAATATTTTTAAGGTGAATTCTAAAATAAATATAATAAGATTAATTTAAAGTAAAATTATGTATCTGTTATTTTAACTAAATTTTACAAGTCTTTATTTTTCTGGGCACCTAATCTAATTCGAACCTTGAGAGATTTTTTGCAGGATTCAAAACCCTTTAACAAACTATATTATTTGAATGAAAAATAGAACCCATAATAAAATTTATAAATCACATATTGAAAGAAAATATGAAGAGTAAATGAATATAAACCTTAATAAAGCATCCTCCATTGAATCTGAATTCGAAAAAAATTGGTGATATGTCATAAATGATATTTTGAAATAACTTATTTGCCGCATCTGGCACTGTTATTTCAATATATTTTATCAAGTTTTTCTGAAAATAATTTTTCTCATTCAGAGAATTAAAGTTATTTCCTGAAATTAATTTTTATTATTTTTTTATTTAAGAACAACTCGATATTTCGCGGAAAAAACCTATTTTAAAATTTAGGTTCAGGGTCCAAACTTTTTTTTAAAATAATTTTTGTTTAATTTAAAAATATTCATTAATAAAAGATACTTATTTTAATAATACTCAAACCCAGATATAAAATCAGAGCTCATTTAACGAAATTATGGGGAAAACATAAATCATTAATAGGGCTGTGCCGATATTAAATATCGCATAGGATTGACACATTTAGTGTTTTCCAAATATTTTTATATTATTGGTAAAAATTAATAATATGAATCGGGTTTACTTGCTTAGAGGTCCTACATTTATATTTTTAATGCTTTATTTCTTATCGTTAATTTATTTTATTATTTCACTTCATTAATATATTTAGAATGCATTTATGAACTTAACTTCTTAATATTTTTTAAATTTCGCAATTATGAAAATATTTATTATAAATTTTAATTCCCTATTTTTTCCTGATTTTCGCATGCCCTTCACCCATTAAAGTAACAGATATATTTCATCAATATACATAATTAGGCTTATAATATAGTGAAGTGAACTTGTCCCGATCTTCGCCTGCCCCTTTCTTATATTTCTAGAATAACTAATATTATTTATTTCGTCAATATATATAATTATATTATCTTAAATATATATTTTAATCCTCTCTTCGCCGATGCCAAATAAATTATATTTTATATAAATAATCACTTATATTATAACATCATTATTATTATTATTATTATATATATATATATATATATATCGTGAAATTATGATTTATAATTATGCATTAATAAAAAGAATTACTCGAATTACTCTGATCAATGGAAATGGTAAAATTTAAAAAAGACTAGTAATTAATTTACTAAAATATAGAAAAGAATACAATAAAAAACACCGTTAGACATTTTAGTGCATCTTGGTAGAATAAGTTAAAATAGACCAGTCCAAAATTTTTGTTTTCTAAATTTGAATGATAAAAAAAATTTCATCTAGAGGATAGAAAAATATTTTTTTTTTACTATCATGAATGTAAAAAAATGAGTAAATTTTATTTTATAAATGTATTGAAGCTATAATATCTGAAACAGAATGTGATTATACTTACTATTTCACTTTTGATAGGGAGGAACAGTCTCAAACTTAGTACAGTGGAAGAAGGTTGCGTACATGACGTGGATTGGGTCAAGTTACTAAGTGGGTGTGTTGATTTAGGAGGCTAACTTGGTAGTATTTAGATATTTAAAAAAAATATATTAAATCCATTCATTATTTTTATTTAGAAAAAATTAATATTATTGACGCCATCTAGCGGATAGAATATTATTTTTATTACTTTTATAAAAAATAAGGTTATGGTTAAATTTAATTTTATAAAAGTATTGATGCTTAAATATCTAATATAAATTTTTTTATACCTCCAAACACTTATTTTATATATAAAAATTAATAATACTCAATTAATATTAAGAAAATGAAAGCTCACTTAGAATATGATAGTAAATATAATATATAAATAGAGGATTATTTATAGCCGAGCTATATTTCTCAGCCAAGCAATATTTAGTAATAAATTATTTATTATGTCACTAGTCTAGAATTTGATTTATTATGTGGTTAGCTGAGCAACATTTTCCATCCGAGCGATAATTAGTAATAAATGATTTATTATGTGGTAAGCCGAGCGAAATTTAGTAATAAATGATTTATTATGTGGTTAGCCGAACGATATTTAGTAATAAAATGATTTATAGTGTGGTTAGCCGAGCGATATTTCCTAGCTGAGCGACATTTCTCAGCCGAGCGATAATTAGTAATAAATTATTTATTATGTGGTAAGCCGAGCGATATATCCTAGCCTAGCGATATTTAGTAATAAATGATTTATTATGTGGTTAGCCGAGCGATATATCCTAGCCGAGCAATATTTAGTAATAAATGATTTATTATGTGGTTAGCCGAGCGATATTTTCTAGCCGAACGATATTTAGTAATAAGATGATTTATAGTGTGGTTAGCCAAGCGATATTTCCGATATTTTCAGCCGAGCGATAAATAGACCCACCCAAGGTAAACTGCAAATTCCTAGGTAAAAATTTTTGTTATATTCTCTCTTAAGTGGAGCGAGGTTCATTTTCTTATTCTATAAATAACTTATAAAAAATTATATTCTTAGATATATTCAATAATAAATGAATAGACATTAATAGTTGTATTTTCTTTTATCCCATAATAAAGAGTTTAAATCCTTTAGTATAATTAAATTAAAAATAATTATAATTAGATTTTAAATTTCATTAATATTAATTCCGCAAGTTGGCGTATTATAAAAATTAAATAATAATAAGCTAACTAGCGGATTTTATATTATTGTAATTTAAAATGTTATTGTAATTTAAAAATATAATACTTTTTTTAAGATAATTATATTAATAGATTTAAACTAGTTATTATGAGAAAAAAGAAAATACAACTATTAATGTCTATAAATTTATTATTGATTATATCTAATAATATAATTAATAAATTATACATATAAGAAAATGAATCTTACTCCAATTAATAGAATATAAATAGAATATATATCAAAAAATTTTACCTAAACATTTGCATTTTACCTTGGCATTGTTTAGTCAAACATGTGAAACACATCAAACACCTTTTTAAATAATAATATTATATGATTTTAAAATATACTAAAACAAAGAAAATTTGTAATTTTGTTCTTAAAATAATAATACGCCAACTTGCGGATTTTATATTAATGAAATTTAAAATGTAATTATAATTATTTTTAATTTAATTATACTAAAGGATTTAAACTCTTTATTATGAGATAAAAGGAAATGCAACTATTAATGTCAATTCATTTATTATTGATTATATCTAATATAACTTTTATAAGTTATACTTATCATAAGAAAATGAATTTTACTCCAATTAATAAAAAAATTTTACCTAAGCATTTGCATTTTACCTTAGAGCATTTGCAGTTTACCTTAGCATTTGCAGTTTAGTCAAACCCATAATTTTTTGATATATATTACAATATAATTTATTTTTTTTAATTAATAGTCCTTAATTGTAGAAATAAAAATATTAAAATTAAATGCATAATTTCATTTTTTGCACAGAAATATGGATTTTTAATTACATTTGGTTCAAATGTATATGGTAAAAGAATCAATATCGGATCGGGTTTGAACGATTATCGGAAAATATCGAATCGGACTGTTGAAAAATATGTGAATCGGCACAGCTTTAAAATCCATCGTTTATATAATATTGAATTTAGTATTCATTATTAAATATCAATGTATCACATCATTCTAATATAATAATATGCCCAAAGTTTTTATGGAATATGTGAAAATTCGGAATCTCTCAATTTATATCATTTATGAGTAAGTTTTTTATTTGTAACTTTTTTAGAAAGAAATAAGTAAATAAAGAAAGAAACCGAAAATGTAATCCAGCATGTGAAAGAGTAGAAGTCAAGTGGGCGGGGTTTGACCCGAACGCACATGTTTAAAAAATTTAATTATCTCACACCCCATGGTTTTTTAAATATACCTCTCCCGTATCTGACAATTTCCAACTTTTAAAAATTATTTAAATGGTTGGTTTGGTTCTTTATTATTTTATTTTAATGTTTATTTATTTAAACTTATAAAATATGCGATATTATGAAATAGAAAAATCATTTTAAATAAATAGAACTCTATCCTGCTAATTTCGCCAGAAACCCGCCCATGATTCAAATTCTATTTAAAAGCTCTCCTGCGCCCACCCATTGCAGACCTCTGATGTAGAGTATCTAATGAATTTTAAACAATTTTGTTTTCAACTTAACATGCGTAAAAATGCTTTACATACGAAAATAATAAAAAACATTTTTTTTTAAATAGGCCTATAAATATTTGATTAATTCATAAAAGTCGATTTTTATTTAAATTAAAAAATACACATCCTAGAATACAACGCCGGTAAAATCATATTTTTCTATCTAAAAATAGCCTAATAGCAAAGACCTTATAGGGGTTAGGCTAGGTATGGACCTAATATTATATTTTCTAGCGAGCCTAAGCTAAAAAAAATTCCCAATTTAACTTCAGCTTATTTAAAATAGTTACGAACTTAAAAAAATGTTAGATTTTTTTCTTTTAATAATAAATTTCAGTATTGTAAACAAAATAAATGCCTAAAAAAAATTGTTTATTTTCATTAAATACAATAAATTAAATTTTTGGATATGGGCTTGGAAAAAATTTTTGAAACTTATTATGGGTTTGAGAATTTTTTAATAATAAATATGGACTGAGCTTAAAAAAATTTTCTACTGCGAACCTGATAAAAAAAATTAAGGCCCATGTAGATGATTTAATCAATAAGTCGGTGGATTTAAGATAGAATTATAAATGTGATTTAATTAAAATTACTTGATCCTTATCACCGGCAAAGCATCCACTTTTCATAGTACAACTGTTGTAATAAGTTGGATGGTCAAATTTACAAATAGGCATAAGAGGATTTTCTTTATCTACCTCATCAGATTTAAAAGAATGACCATGACCCCTCTTTAATATATCGTGGTTGGAGGGGTAAAGTTGAGGGCCAAGCCTTCGAAAAAGTGCCATTACAAGGCTACCGTCAGAATTAAACTTGGCGCTCATTACATTATCTTCATCTTGTTCATCTAGATGATTGTTGTAAGAGGAAAAGGTGTTGACCTTATCAAGCTTTGGTAGTGCGGGCAATATTATTGGTTTTTTAGATCGGTAACGAAACAAACAGCTGATTTGGAATAATTGTTTTTTAAAGATATTAAAATATGTTAATTATTAATAATGGGAGGTGGTGAAGAAATTGAGAAGTTATTCTCTACATTTTTTGAATAGATAGTAATTATTTGATAAGATTAAACACTAATTTATATTCTTAAACCTATTATTTATATTATAAATATACCTCCCAGGTTTTCTAATGTCCCATAAACCAATACCTTCCTTAGTGTTGGCGGTTATTAAATAATTGTTTTCGATTGGATGATGCATGACAGAATGAAAGGGTGAGGTATAACTTGCCACTCTAACTGAATCTATTGCAAAATGAGTTTAAAATCAATTAATGCAATTTTATTATTTGTAAACAAAATTATTGATAATCATATATGTTACATATTTTTTTTTTTTAAATCGGGGTCGGGTCTAATATTTTTTAAGAAAATTCGGGCCGGATCGAGACGGCCCTTAGAAATTTTTTTAAATATATCTAAATTTATCAATTATTTCATTTTATTTATAGAAACTAGACGCCATATAACATAGATCGTTTATTTTGATTAATTATAAAAATTAATTTCTATATTTAAATAAATTCGTGCCGGGCCGGTAAATTTTTTTAAAAAAAATTTCGGGTTCGGGCCGGGTAAAACTTTTTAAAAAAAACTTGGGGGCGAGCCGGGCTTGAAAAATTAGGCCCGATGCAGATCACTAGCTGGAATATATTTTTGAAAATAAGAGATTTTTTAAATTTAAAAAAAGGTCTGAATAAATGAATTAATAAAATAGCAAAATAATTTATTAGAAGCGTTTTTATATTTGAAGATCTGATTTTGAAGAAAATGTAAGTATGCTTAAAATACTTATCCAATTAATCCAAACAAAGTTGCCATTGATGATTATGCACAATTCCAGAAGCATATATAAACGGAGCTCCGAAAGTAATCAAAAATAAAGATGGGAAATTGATAATAAAGGAAAAAGAAATAATGAGTAGATGGAGAGAATATTTTCAGGAGCTTCTCAACTTTAATCCGCACATACTGCATCTAGACGAACACTCCCCTTGTCAAAACCTTGTACAACCTATAACACAACAAGAAATAATCACATGCCTCAAGCATATGAAAAACAACAAAGCTAGGGGTCCAGACGATATTCCAATAGAAAGCCTTAAAGCACTAGGAGATGATGGAATACATCTCCTCACAAATCTATACAATAAGATACTTGGAAATGAAGAGATTCCCCAAAAATGAAGGCAGAGCTATCTAGTTCCTATCTTCAAAAATAAAGGGGATCCACATAATTGTCAAAATTACAGGGGCATAAAACTAATGTCACACTGTCTAAAACTATACGAAAAAATAATAGAAAAAAGATTAAGAGATATAATCGAAATAGGAGAGACTCAGTTTGGCTTTATGCCTGGAAGATCAACAACCGATGCTATCCACGCAATTAGGCAAATGAGTGAAAAATACAGGGAAAAGAACAAAAAGCTACACATGGTCTTTCTCGATCTAGAAAAGGCCTTTGATAGAATCCCAAGAAAACTTATCTGTGGGCGCTACGCCACAAAAATGTTCCCGAAAAATATATAAGAATAATACAGGATATGTATATGGGCCATACAACAATGGTCCGTAGCACAACAGGTACTTCAGCAGGCTTCACAATAGCCGAAGGAGTTCATCAAGGGTCGGCTCTCAGCCCACTTCTCTTCATTACAGTAATAGATGTATTAGCACAGTCTATACCTCAAACAGTCCCGTGGAATATGATATTTGCAGATGATTGATACTTGCCGAATCTAAGGATGAAATGAAAGAAAGACTAGTGAGTTGGATAAATATCCTAGAAACGCACGGATTAAAAGTAAATAGGGAAAAAACGGAGTATATGGTGATAGGAGGAGATGAAACAGAGAGTATTGATATAAATGAATGGCAGATATCGGCAATTGAAAGCTGCAAATATTTGGGCTCCACTATACAAACAAACAGCACAATAGAAAAAGAGATAAAGAGTAAGATTAATCAAGGGTGGTTAAAGTGGAAATCTTTATCTGGAGTGCTATTTGACAAAAGAATCCCACACAAATTAAAGGGAAAAATTTACAGTTCCATAGTACAACCAACTATTCTATATAGTTCGGAAACATGGCCAACCAAAGAATCAGACGAGAGAAGTCTACAAACCATGGAGATGAGAATGCTGAGGATGATTGCTGGGGTAACAAGAAAGGATAAAGTGCGCAGTACAAGAATACTAAGTAGTTTAAAGGTAGTGCTCATTAAGACTAAGTTAATGGTAGCACACAATGATAAGGCCTATGAACTACATAGGAAATAAAGTTAAGAGTTTGGAAGTGATAAACTTCAATGGGGCCATAAAGTTAGAGCCAATATAAAGAAGTATAAATTAGATAAAAGAGATTGTATTAATAACATAAAGTGGAGAGAGATGTTGAAGGAGCTTACCACCAGAAAAGGTGAAAGCTAAAGAGAAAAAAAAAATATAGTCAAAAAAATAGGAATTAGATGGTCGTCAGATTATTCAAAATTATAGTTTAGATTTTATGACTGTTCAAGGAACCAAGAAGGCTTAAATGGTTACCTCAGTGATCCGAGGCTAACCGTTATTTTAAGTTAGGACTCTTTTTACCCCGTTAATACGGAAAATACTAGAGCCTAGTCAGAAGGACGATAATGTAGTAGCGATCATAGGCTGGAATGGTACTGCGGTAAATGATGTATTTACCGTGCTTTTATCCTTCTATTTCTTTAAGAATATCAGTATTAACCTTTGAAGAGGAATGAGAGCTATAGCGGAGAACTCCCATGCATAAAATTGGTCATTTTCCTAGAAAAGTGATCAAATTCGGGTGGTTGTTGTCCGCGGATATCAATCCAAGGAGCTCCAAAGTAAAAAATATTTTTTTTCCGACACCAATAATTTATAGGGATAAAAATGTTGTCATTTTCATCTAGACCATTTTTAGACAAAATGTTTGTCCCCTTACGATTTTCCAGCATTAGATCGCTTTCTTAATAAAATTTCTTAATTACATTTGAATCAAAATTTATTTCATTTTAAAATAATTATAGCATTTACATTTATTTTAGGAAATTAATCGAATGGACCAGTGTTGTTAAACACTACTTTTAAAAGTAGCGTGATATAGCTACCGCTATTTTCTCGCTATCGCTACTGCTATCGTTTTTAAATGAGTAGCGCGGTATTAGCTACTTTTTACGCTATTTTGATTTTTTTTTAAAATATTTTTTACGTAACTTTATGACAAATAAAATATTGGTATAAAAACATGACTATAATTTGTTAAACATATATATTTATATAATTTATTTATTATTGCACTTTAATATTAAAATTTCGGTACACTCATCCCCAAGTCTAGAGCGACCATCAGAAAGTATAAGCTTTGCCATACTAAATAATCGTTCAGCACTAGCACTTGTGGGCAACGCAGTATTAAATTTAATAAACACACTTTTTATATGAAAAAAATCATCAAATATGTATAATTAGTATTTTTAGATTTAAAAAAAGCATCTAGAGGTTCAATAATATTATTATTATTTATCAAAAAAATCGTCTATGGAAGGCCGCGGTTTCGATCTTTCTATAGTATTAGTATCGTGGTTAGGCATGACATTTTTTAACGTTACCATCAGCCTATCAAGTTGCCCTTTAGATTCAGTCAAATTAATGTATGGCAAGTTTAACTTGGAACTAGGATGAACGATAGCAGCTATTACATTATCATCATCATACAGATCTGGAAATCTAATTTATATAAAGCGATAGTATTTATTATAAAAAAAGAAGAATACCTTTTTAATTTACAAAATTTAAATCTATCTGAGATTTAGATTCATTTATAAAAAAATATTAAAAAGCATTAAATTATGGTAAATAAAGATTATAAAAATATAATGATTATACACAAGGTAATTAATAATATATTAATTTTGAATTTTATATTAATACTATATATTATGTAATATTGGCCTACCCGGGTAAATCTGGAAATCGCCATAAAACGGAGAAGAAGAAGAAGTGTTGTAAATTAAGCCAATTTAAATTCTAGCTAATCAAGCAATAAATCATTCATTTTATATAAATAATAGAAAATAAAAATAAAGTTTTGACTTTTTCTCAATGCCTTGAACAGTATCTATTATAAAGTTCATTATGACTTTGTCAGCCAATTTTTGAGATACACCTGGTGTTGTTGATGAATCCAAATTGTTTAATTTTGTTTGAATTAAATTTGATTTGGAAGTGGATGTATCTTCTTCCATTACCCAAAAACTTTTAAGATATTTTTCAATCTCTTTATAATTTGAGGTACAGTCTAAAATTATAATAGTAATACTTAGAATAAGGAGATAAGTAAATAAAAATGATTGAAATAACTATTTTAAAATGTTTTAAATTTTTTAGATAAAATTTATGAATATATAAATAATGATTAATCTTTGATTTAAATTTATTTTAAAAATTAAGGATTAGCCTACACATTGATATTAAATTTGTTTAATATATTTATTACCTTTAAATGTTTTTTCAAATTAAAGCTGCTTGTATGATTTGATGATAAAATTTTGCGACACATCTTACATCGAAACCGATAACCAGTAGTAATTTTTTCTTCAAGATTAAAGTATTTTTTGAATTTTGGGAAAGGATAATCTATATTTTTCTCTTTTTCCAAAGAAATTTCGCTATCTTCAACAATCTCACACATTTTTTATAACTAGGTTAATGCTAACTAGATTTATAATGCATATTTTTAAATATAAAATAAATTAAATTTAATAAAAGATTATAATTTTTGATTTAATAAAAAATATATTTTAATAATTTTTAGATGTATTTATTATGTAAAATAGAAAGTAGCAAAGTAGCGCGCTAACTCGCTACTTTCTAAATTAGTAGCGAGCTACCACTATCGCTATTTTCTAAATTAGTAGCGAGCTACCGCTATCGATATTTTCTAAAAAAAGTAGCCCACTAAAGCTACCGCTACTGAAAAAAGTAGCGCGCTATTTTAACAACACTGGAATAGACATAGAATGAGAATATAAATATCATTACCCAATCTAACTTGTTATTTTAAAAAATATATTTCCACAAAAAATATAGATTAATTTAGTTCGATTCAGAAGGAAAGGGTTATATAAAATATATTTATATAGCAAATGCAGTGGTATGTTATTTTTATAAGATGGAAAAATAACAAGTTAATTAACAAAAAAGCAGAACGCGATATTGTATAGAGAAAATATAA